TCTTGATCACTGGGTCTACTTGAATCGGTTGGTGGTAAATAGCATACGGCAACGGAAAAGTTAAAATCAGAATGTTTCCCTGTAAAACAAATCCAAATAATACCTTCTCTACTCCGATCTTGAATTTCAACATAAAAAGAATCATATAAGTTTAAACGAATGAAGGCACCAACCCCGCCAGATCCGCGCCTAGCATTACTGTGTACATTTTCCCGATTATGTCCTATCCACTTATAACCGGGTACGTTAAGCTGATTATCATCACGTAAAAATGTTTCACAAACTGCAAATATGTCACAATTAACATGTTCTAATACTAAATTTCTAAAAGTCGAATTATCGTTCTTGTGCATTGACCAACCGCGACAGTTCCATACACATAACCGCAACCTGTCCTAATGACGTCTGTGCACTAACTTGTTTCCGATAAAAAAACATTTCACGTTCTTTCCCAACTTCTTTTAAGAGTGTTCTCATGTTGCTCTGGTAAATACGTGTTTCGATTGGCAAATCGTTGTCTATGTACACATTTTTGTAAGTGTTACTATTTTTCAGTTGCCGCTTGTTACTGAAAATGCGTTTGTTTTGATCAGAATCATTATCTATTTCTACCAAAACTATCCCACATGAGTTTCACTTTCCCGTTTTTCTTTCAGCTGACTTGATTTTCACGTCGGGGATACCAAGCCAATCTTTAAAGAGAGATTGTACTTTGTTTATACTAACTTGATTATTTTCTTCTTCTTGAGCATCACAGTCTAGATTTTTTATCACCAACTTTTTTTTTGAATTGATATTAGGGGTTGTTTTTTCGGTTTCTTTCGTTTTCATCATAGCATCGTATGTTTTTTGGACAGTGTCAATTTTTGTGTTCAAAACTTCCATATCGCCTAGAATGTCTTGTTTTATCATATCAACCTCCGCCTTCACTTTAGTTTCTAACGCCGTTTGTATTTTTGTCGAGATTTTTTCTTCTATGTTAAATTCTATCTGACTCATATATTAAAACTTGGAGTAATGACACGTTATTGTCACTCTCATAATAACCAAGGACATAGCTACATTATGGATATATTAATTAAGTCATCAACGTGATCAAAGAAAACAAACATGGCAACGTGGTCTAATCACGATGTAAGTTTTGACAAGACCTATGTATATTAGTATTGTACAACTCTTTATGAAATCGTTTTATGATAATATTTTATATTAACAAAAGAAAACCTCGAATGGATGGTAACAAAAACGAAATATCTATATTTTTTATTTTATTAAATCATCACACGGGTAACCAGTACAATTTACATAATCCTAATTAAACCAGTCACATGCAGAGTTATCGAACGTAATTATGACTGGAATAGTTGCATATGTGCTATTTAAAATGAATCTGGGTTCTCATAAATCATTACAAAACATAAAAAAGCTGCCCACTTTTTACTTAGAAATCTTGAAATGTTGGATAAAAGTGGAGGCGGGGAAACAAAAAAAACCCCGAAAAGTATATAGATATAAGGAAACAAGTTATATGGAGAAATCAATTTATTAAGAGTCAAGGAAAAAGTTTATATTTTAGGCATTGGGTAGAAGAAGATATAATTTTTTATTAATGACGTAATTGATGATGAAGGCGAAATTTCTTTAAAAATCTTAAACTAAAAAACAAACAAAACTTGATAGCACAGACATGTACTCTACGAAAAGCTATACCCAAATCTTGGAAATAGAAATTTAAGAGTAAAACATCAATAAATACTAAAATTCACATTCAACAAGATAATGAAATAAAGATGATCTGCCATGGATTGTAAAATGCATTCAAAGAAATATATAATATTATAATAAGATCAAACAAAGAGCTTCCAGTAGGGTTCTGCTTATGGAAAATCATTTCACTTTTGAAAATGTTACCTATTTTTTTAAAGAAGAACCTTTCATTTACATTCCTTTTTTTAACCGATAATAGAATAAAAATGCTCAGATGGAAACTACGTATATATACTGCATACCAATTTATCATAATTTGTATCGTTGGAAAGTATCTAATAATCCAAACTGTGAGATTTGTTTCAAATGTGATAACTGTAACCATTTTTTCTTTGAATGCAAATTGATGGGTTAAAAATTATTGGTCAATAATTTACAGCAAATTTATGTATTTTGATATTGATCAACATGTCTTTTATCTTAAAAATCTTGTACTTGGATATAAAATTGAAGATATTGAATATAACACACTTAATCATATTTAAACACTGATTTGTTTTGTGATTTATAAATATTTTTATTTATCAGAATAGAGAGCTAGATTTGTGATAATGTTGTCATTCATAAAAAATGAAACTAAAACACAAATTTTATATCATCCAGATAGTCCATTTTTGATCGGAACTGAAATACACATAGTTAATTTTCCGGCATTTGATGTCTTATCCTGAGCTGTTGCTGTATCTCAGCCGCATCATAAAACAACCAATCAGAATCTATATGTGATTAGTAATTATTTCAAGATGGCGTGTTTATCGACTGAAACTAATAGCTCTTCACCGTGATGCGAAGCAAACAGAAGACGGACAAAAATCCGTTTTTTTTTTCTCTTTTGATCGTTTAAGTGTCACCAAATATGTATATATATGTGTGCTCGTAGAAATACTTTGTAAAATGCAACTAACACAGAATATAAATGTATGATCATTTTGCTAATTGAATCCCCTGGTTTCATTAGCAATTAACAACACAGGGAGGAACCTTAGCGTCATTGTTGTAGCGCTAAGCAACATTGTTCACAAATATTAGTGCAATAAAATATTTGAAGTTGGAAAAAAAAAAAAAAAAAAAAACATTCGTTTTCAACATTCAACATTTGATTTCAACAATCAACATTCAATTTTTTTTTTGTCAATTTATTTTTATCCAACATTCGATTTCAACATTCAACATTCAATTTTCAACATTCAACATTCTTAATCAATTAGCATTCGATTTCAGTATCCAATATTCGTTTTTCAACATTCAACATTCGTTTTTAAACATTCAACATTCGATTTCAAGATTCAAGATTCAAATTTTTTTATCATTTATTTTTTTCAACATTTGGTTTCAACATTTAACCTTCATTTTCAACATTCAACATCCGTTTTCAACATTCATCATTCGTTTTCAACATTCAAAATTCGTTGTCAACATTCAACATTTTTTTTTTCGACATTTAACATTCGTTTTCAACATTCAACATTTTTAAATTTAAAAAAAGTAATTTTTTTTAATGCTGAATGTTGAATGTTGAAAACGAATGTTGAATGTTGAAAACGAATTTTGAATGTTGAAAAACGAATGTTGAATGTTGAAAATGAATGTTAATTGAATAAGAATGTTGAAAATTGAATGTTGAATGTTGAAATCGAATGTTGATAAAAAAATTAAAAAAATTAAAAAAAAATTTAAATGTTGAATGTTGAACATTGAACCAGTGACGTTTAAGTCTTACGTGAATTTTGCATGATTTATCTTTATTTTCTAATTCTGTTATTTTCAGAAATCATTCTTTCATGTCATGCTGTATGTTCATTTTAACATTTGTAGGCAACTTGTTATTTGTGTCTTTGGGATGCGTTCTCATAGACATATTACCCACATCTTCTTTAATACGTATCTAAGATAAATGCAAATATGCTGCTGGATTTAATTATGATGGTTGAACATTGAATACGGAGTTCAATATGTCTAATTTCGTTTTTCGAAATTTAAATATTTTCAAAAACAAAATATGTCTACAATTCATAACCCTATTATGACATTTTTACATGCATTTAAGTATCCTTGTTCAATATTTAATTGTTTTAATTTCTCATTTTGCAGATATTCATTTGTATTTTTAATGTTCGTCCTGTGAACTTTGACTTAACAAAGGTAAAGTTGAAAATTGAAGAAAGGGTATTGGACATGATATCAATATTATTATTTAATTTGTCTAAAATTCCAAAAGGACTCAATTTTGACCCATCTCATATTTACCTATCACTGCTCTTTTCAGCAAGCACGTGACTCACACTGCCACAATTTCCAAAATCTTCAAAAGGTCGTAGCAATTCATACTTGTGAAATTTTATCCTAAAACAATATTGAAAACGATAAGTAAAACCTGATTATGTTCTGTCCGATCTTCATTATTCATTAACAAAGGAGAAAAGTCATAGGCTCATAAAATCATTATAAATTCTCCAAATATAGATGGAATCAGTACTAGCCTTTCTTAAAATCTGTCAAGATCTGTTACTAGTAATAATAGTCTCTAGAACAATTCCCACGCATCTCTCGGAAAGATTGACCGAAGCTGTTTTACTCTAGAACTTTTTAGGACAAATTTATTCTAGAACAGTTTTGAACAGTTCTATCCTAAACCAAATTCGGACAGTTCAAACTTAAAACAGATTTTGACAGTTCTATACATACATGAACAGATTCATATGTACAATACTTACAAAAATAAAGACAAATTAATGTTATATGGATATGTATAGTCACACACGTAAAATAAATTATTTCACTATGTAAATTAACTACGGGGGATTTAAAGCCTTGTCCTTAATTTTTACAGAACACTACATGTCTCAACAACTCTTGACATAACTCGTCTTGTACAAAGACAAATAATAATGACGTTTAAAAGAATATCTAATAGGGAACGGAAAGAGAGAAGAAAAGATACCAAGCGGGTATTCAAAAATGTAAGACCAATAAAAACAAAGAACACTATGAACTCGAGAAAGACAACGACAAGACAAATGACATTTACTAAACAATCTACACAAATCAAAAGATTGAGCAAAACTAACTAACTTAGCCTTTGGTAACCGTTTGCCATAATGAGATGTCCTTGAAAGCAGGGAGTTGTCGTTACTATAAGTTGAAGTACGCCGTTGTACAGAATAATAGTCACCTTTAAGTGAGGGAAAATGGTTTTCCCGATAGTACTTATTGTTTTCTACTGATAATAATTTTTACCTTCTGTACAAATCATCATCTTCTCCTCCCCATCCGAAGAACTGATTGGAAAATCCGTTTATTTTTTCGAACTGCTCCTTAGAAAATGTAATTATTCCGCCTGCGAGCTCTTCATACAGTAACCTGAAAGGTTCCACAGTTCACTTTAAGACAACATGATGTCCTATTCTTAATAGAATAGAGAATGGAAACGGGGAATGTGTCGAAGAAACAACAACCCAACCAAAGATAACAAAAAACAGTCCCAGGCCACCCATGGGTTTTTAACGCAGCGAGAAAATTCCGTACACGGATTTGTTTTTATGTTACAATTGATTAGAGTATTTTGTTGGACGTTATCAGGCAGGCATTGTAACCTTTCGTCATGCCGATATACCATTCAAATTTATATAAATGACGATCTTAAACAGGCGTGGCAGCCAGGGTGGTTTAAATATCAGTATGTTGCAAGTTGGGAGATCCAACCTTTCACGGATAATTATCTTTCATATGAACGGTTTGTTAATCCTGTCCACTCTTCTTCGTTAATGGTATCTTAAAATGCGACTTGTATCAAAATTCGTCTTGCCCTGACAAAAATGACGACAGCAGCTAGAAGATCAATAATTGCTTAACCATCCGGAGAACATGCATTGTTTTGTTTACTCCTGTTTTTTTAAATGAGATTTGTATACTTCAGTTTTCTGTGTAGCATTCTGTGGGTTGTTTCTTTCTTGGTCATGTTGTTGTATGTCGTCTTTGACATATGATTTCTTATCGCTCCTTTGTTAGTTTTTTTTATTTTTACACACTGAATGTAAGCGTAAAAGACTCTCTGAACCATAAATATATTTGTTAGGTTTCATAGAATCTATTTATTACTTATCTTTCATAATAGTTTATAATTTCATGTTGTTTTGTATGTTTGTGCACTTTCAAGTATACGGTGTACACTGTTTGTAATCTTGAGATTTAATAAGGTGGTTCGCAGACTAAAACATGAACGTAAGGTAAGTCATGAACTGTTTGAATTGAAGGGCATTATGTTTATTTATATCATGTATTTTTTTTTCTTACACGTTTTTTACGTGCCTTTTAATCTGATACATGTATACAGATTGAAATATAGAATCAAGGACGATTTCAGGTTTATTTTACAAATAGAGCAAATACGTTTTTCGTATTAAACTCTGAAAATGACATATGAATAATTTGTACTTGTCTGTATATATTCATTGCATATGCTGTTAGACGCATTTGTGGATACCCCGTCCGCAAGTGCCCCGTTGTAAAGGGGTAGTTTCCAAATAAATAAATATATATATATATATATATATATATATAAACAAGTCTAAATTGAAAACGACGTTCAAACCTATGATTGCGTTGGATAAAAACCGCAATTTTTATACGTGTGCATGCAAAGCAAATTTCTTGTAAGAGGGGTCTAAATACAGCACAAACAACATTTTACAAAAGACCAAAAAAGTGAAAAAGTATATTTTAACAAAACGCATTTGACTAACAGGTCGAACAACAAATGTCCTTAATACCTGCTGACTGCCATTGGCGATTGCCAAATAAACGGATCACCGATGTAATAAATGGATCTTAAATATAAATTTAATACTAAACAGAAAACAATAAACTTGCGGAAAAATTGGTATACCGCAAAAAAAAGGTGCAAAGGTTTTTGTACACCATATCCGGATTTCGACAATTAATGTCTCTTCAGTGATGTTAGGAATCGAAACGGTATTTGGAAAGCCATATAATTTTACTTCAATTTAGGATAGACTCTTGAATTTTGAGGAGTCAAAATAGGATGAACGGATCATATAAACCCGAAGGCAAATATAATACAAGCCCAAACGAAAAAATATAAACAAGTCTAAATTGAAAACGACGTTCAAACCTATGATTGCGTTGGATAAAAACCGCAATTTTTATAAGTGTGCATGCAAAGCAAATTTCTTGTAAGAGGGGTCTAAATACAGCACAAACAACATTTTCCAAAAGACCAAAAAAGTGAAAAAGTATATTTTAACAAAACGCATTTGACTAACAGGTCGAACAACAAATGTCCTTAATATATATATATATATATATACAAGTCTAAATTGAAAACAAGGTTCAAACCTATGATTGCGTTGGATAAAAACCGCTATTTTTATACGTGTGCATGCAAAACAAATTTCTTGGTAGAGGGGTCTAAATACAGCACAAACAACATTTTCCAAAAGACCAAAAAAGTGAAAAAGTATATTTTAACAAAACGCATTTGACTAACAGGTCGAACAACAAATGTCCTTAAACCCTGCTGACTGCCATTGGCGATTGCCAAAAAAACGGATCACCAGATGTAACAAAATGGATCTTAACTATAAATTAAATACCAAACAGAAAACAATAAACTTGCGGAAAAGATGGTATACTGTAAACAAAATGTGCAAAAATTAGTACACCATATCCGGATTTCGACAATTAATGTCTCTTCAGTGATGTTAGGAATCGAAACGGTATTTTGAAGACCATATAATTTACCTCAATTTAGTATAGACTCTTGAATTTTGAAGAGTCGAAATAGGATGAACGGATCATATAAACCCGAAGGCAAATATAATACAAGCCCAAACGAAAAAATATAAACAAGTCTAAATTGAAAACAACGTTCAAACCTATGATTGCGTTGGATAAAAACCGCTATTTTTATACGTGTGCATGCAAAACAAATTTCTTGTTAGAGGGGTCTAAATACAGCACAAAAAACATTTTCCAAAAGACCAAAAAAGTGAAAAGTATATTATAACAAATCGCATTTGACTAACAGGTCGAACAACTGATGTTCTTAAACCCTGCTGACTGCCATTGACGATTGCCAAATAAATTGATCACGAGATGTAACATGGATCTTAATTATTAATTTAACACCAAACAGAAAACAATGAACTTGCGGAGAAGATGGTATACCGCAAACATGAAGTGCAAAAATTTGTACACCATATCCGGATTTCGCATCTGGGATTTCGACAATTAATGTCTCTTCAGTTATGTTAGGGATCGAAATGGTATTTAGAAGGCCATATAATTTACCTCAATTTAGGATAAACTCTTGAATTTTAAAGAGTCGAAATAGGATGAACGGATCATATAAACCCGAAGGAAATTATAATACAAACCCAAACGAAAAAATATAAACAAGTATAAATTGAAAACAACGTTCAAACCTATGATTGCGTTGGATAAAAACCGCAATTTTTATACGTGTGCATGTAAAACAAATTTCTTGGTAGAGGGGTCTAAATACAGCACAAACAACATTTTCCAAAAGACCAAAAAAGTGAAAAGTATATTATAACAAATCGCATTTGACTAACAGGTCGAACAACTGATGTTCTTAAACCCTGCTGACTGCCATTGACGATTGCCAAATAAATTGATCACGTGATGTAACATGGATCTTAATTATTAATTTAACACCAAACAGAAAACAATAAACTTGCGGAGAAGATGGTATACCGCAAACATGAGGTGCAAAGGTTTTTGTACACCATATCCGGATTTCGACAATTAATGTCTCTTCAGTGATGTTAGGGATCGAAACGGTATTTGGAAGGCCATATAATTTACCTCAATTTAGGATAGACTCTTGAATTTTAAAGAGTCGAAATAGGATGAACGGATCAAATAAACCCGAAGGAAAATATAACACAAGCCCAAACGAAAAAAAATAAACAAGTCTAAATTGAAAACAATCGTTCAAACCTATGATTGCGTTGGATAAAGCCGCAATTCTGATACGTGTGCATGTAAAACAAATTTCTTGGTAGAGGGGTCTAAATACAGCACAAACAACATTTTCCAAAAATACAAAAAAGTGAAAAGTATATTTTAACAAATCGCATTTGACTAACAGGTCGAACAACTGATGTTCTTAAACCCTGCTGACTGCCATTGACGATTGCCAAATAAATTGATCACGAGATGTAACATGGATCTTAATTATTAATTTAATACCAAACAGAAAACAATAAACTTGCGGAGAAGATGGAAACCGCAAACATGAGGTGCAAATATATATATATAGCTTTAGAATTGTGCTAGTTCATATCGCACATTATTATTTTTATTTAAAGCATATATTTGAACTCTCTGTTGTAATTAGTCATATAACCTATGTCGTGTTTAACACATATTTAGAATTGTGCAAGCGTCTTACCTGATGTTCGGTTTGACATTTTTATTGTATAAATTTCAAGATTTGTATAGTTTAATCTAAGTAGACTGATATATGATTCATTCAACATCACAATCATATTTACTGATGAAGGATATCTGTTATCCGAAATATTTATAAATAATTACATTTATAGTTCCTTTTTTTGTTATTGGTGTTGTTGTGTACACTTTTTAGGCGTTTATATATATATATATATATATATATATATAATTTACAGTTCAACCCAATATACACTTCCACGACACTTACTAAAGAAGATACCCGAGAACAAGCGTAGTTCTGTTTCATGTTATTTTGTAATTTAAAGCAAAGAGAAACAACTGAATGTTCCTTCTTTCTATGTATGATACCTAGATAACATAAGTGTTCTTACATCTTACAAACAACTGGTTGGATCTGCCAAATGCTCCACCAAACCTTTAGGTCTTTCAAACTATAAATATATATTCCAAAGCTTACTAAACCTGGACTTCAAAGTAACTGTGAAACTAGCTACCCCAGGCACGGTTGAATTGCAATCAGATGTGGATACTACACATGATCTTTTAGAGAACTTCTTATTATATATAAGTCCCATAGTGTAAATATATTTGACTTCTCCACACTTTAACTTATTATTTATCATTCTATATTTTAGATTCTAACTCTGTTTCATTGATAAGAAGGCCAGCGCAGATACAAATAATAATCTTAAGTAAGGGAGGGACAATTCATTCTTTGTAAAAACAAAATCTGGTTTTAACAAAATTCTTCCGCACTGACATTATCAAGGTTCTTGATTTTTTATTGACAACACATTCGCTACGTTTGACGGACTTCTTTTGAACAGATAATCGGTATTCCTAAGGGATTAAACGACACCCCTCTTCTTGTCGACATGTGCCTCATTCTTCTGAAGTAGACATCATATATTGTACAAATACTTCTTCAGAAAAGTGAAAAGAAGTTTGCATTAACCTTTAACTACACATTCCGCGATATAGGTGATGCCCTTGCTTGGTGACTAAGATAAAGGTATTCAAAAATTGTCAATCCTTTAATTTCAATATGTCTTTATAAAACACATAAAAGTGAAAGCGAGATCATCAGTATACACAGCTGAGTAAATATGAATGATTTCTTGACCTTGTTTTGTTTTACAAATGTTTATAGACCATTAGAATTTTTCAGACAAAGGTATACCTTACATTGTTTTAATTTCAAATCGTTCAAAAGAATTGGAATAAGTATATCAATTTAAGAATACATTCTAGTACCTCTAAGTTATATAGTGCATCATATCGTCACTCAGATTTTTTTGCTCGAATTTACAGAGAAAAAATGCAGCAGAATGCAGAAGAATGCAGAGTCTTTCAGTTATATAGCAACCTTATTTGTACACAAAATGTATGTTAATCCCTCCATAATTTTTCGTATTCAAACAATAATGCTATCCTTTTGTTTTGTTGATAGGATAAAAATATATTGTAAAGTGGATAGCATAATATTAAAATAGAGAGAGGATGACATCTCAACGTATGCTTATGAAAGTTACTACAGAATTGTTTTAACCTACCGGTATCCAAATTGCTCAACTTTAACTGACATGTGAATTGGATTGTCAGAACACACGTAAAAGTTTCTGTCATCTTTGGGTAGAACGTCAACGTCATGAAATACTATACAGTCGAATTCAATTTCTGACATGGCCTCTTTGAATCCAATATTTGCAAGTATACCTCTGTTAAAAGGCAGACCAGAGTTCTACAATGTTTGGCATTTTTTACTGTGTAAATAGATACTCGTTCAATTGTAAGGGGCATATGTCATTTAAAACATGTACAAATCGATAACTTGGCTGCATGAATATATTTTCTTATGTCACTCACTTGTATTACAGAAGTTTCAAAACATATCTAAATAGAGAGTAATCCAAAGTCATTACATGTTTTGCTAGGGTTGTTTCAGGTATACAAGAGTTAACATACAAGTCACTTCAGAACCAGGAGACTATGTATGCATTTTAACACTGGGGATTTGGAACAGTGAAGACAGTAAAGGTAATCGCCTGGATAAGCATATTATATGCATGATTATGTCTCCTTAAGAATCATTTCTGAAGCGATTATTAACCTAGGATAATGCCAGATTTATGTTATTCTGTGAGACGATAAACATATGTACGCTAAGTTGATGACCGAAACAACGTATTAACCTTGAGACAAATCGTAATGACAACTTGTAAAGTGTTGATTTATGTCGTTCTTTCTCTTACTCCTACCATGTTAGAGGAATTAGACACTCCTTCAACCGTATTTGTAAAATAATCACCAAAAAGAAGGTTACGCCACATCGCAATAATTGAGAAACATAAACATGATAAAAATGGACTAGGGGAAAGTATGTGTTGTTGCTGAAGAATGGTAAGTCGATCATGGAACTGCTAAAATCATTGCAGAGTTCAAAGTTTTGTGTATTTAATCAAAGTGATTTCTAAAAAAAAAAAATAACAAAAAAAGAGGTTATTTCCTAAATGTGTGCAACAGACGGTAAATTTTAAAACATATATACTCAAGGGCTTACGTTTTATTTCATGATTGTTGTGATTGAGAGTCGCCACTGACAAGGAAACTATATATTGAACCAAGATTTCTTAAAGGTAAAGTTGAAATCATCTCTTCGACAGTTCTACGGAAGTCATTGTGATTTGGTTGAATGTTATTGAATATCTGGATACCAAATGACCATGGATATGTTCCACTTGTCGAACCCACATTTCTAACATTCTTTCCATATTTATGACATTATTGAATGCAACTTATCATCGAATGTTTAATTGTCATTACCAACATGACGGGTGTCACTTGTGGAATAGGAAATTTTTACTCTTTCGGAACACCTGATCGAGTTGAATTAATGTTGATCAATTTTTAGTTTCTATGTAGTTATTTTTAAGGAAAACATGTGTGTGCTATTTTAATTTTTATTTGGACTATCTGCCTTTTTTTGTTTTTATTGTCCCTTTGTTAGTATCTTTTTCCTATTCTCATCTTTCGATAATAATAACTTTTTGAGTTAAAACAAGACAATTTTAAGTAGGTTTATATCTTATTCTTTAGTATATGAGTTTTGCACTTCACGTCAACAACCCAATTATAAATTATTATATTATTTCGTTTTTAATTATCTCACTTGTTCGATGACATATATCGCAAATTCTAATTGTTGTTGCTGTATTCTTGGTATCACATTATTTAAAAAGACTTGGAGTTGTTTGTGTCTATCTCTGTAAGGCACAACAATGGCTACTTTTTGTACGGCTGTACAGTTCGGTGGTCTATAATGTCCATCTTTCATAAAGGAGTAAATACTGTTCAAAATAGTTATGTTCAAAACTTGTTTATTGAGGGGCATATATCCATCTGAAATGAAAACAAATAACCAACGAGATGGCGGGAAATAGCGAATATTGGAATTTGTGCATATTTTGTAAACGAATTACCTACAATATCTGAATGTAAAAAAAACGGAAATGTGGTTTGACTGCCGATGAGATAACTATCCACTAGAGAAAAAATGCGAGGATGGAAACTACTTAATTGTGTATATGTCACCTTACGACCTTCAACGTGGAGACAAACCATTCCGTAAATACATGGAAGCTATAAAAAGTCCTTGCATGACAAAATCTGAAACAATCAGAGGAGAAAACTAACCGCCAAAGTTATTCTTAAAGCAATAAATAAAAAACAAATATGATAGCACACAACAATCATTGTGTTACAGGTACCTGACATTGACAAGCACATACAGAATGTGGCGGGGTTGAATATGTTTATGAGAGATTAATCCTCCCCTACCTGAACAAACTGCAATTATAGTACCCCTAAATTAATTTTTTTAAATTTATTACAGCCGGATTAGTCAGAAGACTTTCAATATCCTATATTTAGATTTCAACGCAAAAATCGCTCAGTTGTGGCTTTGACTCACATTTACTTGAGTTTTAAATATATCTGTTCCCACAGAAGTATAAATTGGTAAGAAAAGGATATACATATTTGGAAAATTCAATGCATTTGGAATCATGCATCAACTTTATGACATTCGATACAGATATACGGTTCAGTTGTTTGTTCGATTTTTAGATTCTTAACTTCACTTTTAAAGTGAAAATTTCCAAGAATACATTGAAGTAAATGAAAACAACACGTTAATAAGTTCATGCGTCCGCAGCGTTTTTCTGGATTTACCTTTATCAGGAATGCTCAAAGCCGAATATTTGAAAGCCGAGGAGATGCATAAGAACCGAAACCGTTGAAGAGCTATATGACCAAAATGTACCAAAATAACTAGCCAAATTCACGCCATGAATCAAAATTACGAAGTTTAACAGCTAAGGAAATATGATTTACCAATCAGTAGAAAGGCACTTGTGTATTTAGTAGCTGACTTGAAACATCATACAATCCCGTTATTGCTTCATGAAATGTTACATATCTGAATGTAACTCATCGCCTTATTTGAGATGCCATGAGGAACACGACGGGAGTCACTTGTGGGACAGGAACTTCGGAGCACATGAGTTCAACAATGGATTTTATTTGCTCAATCTTGACATAAGTTTTTCTTTAAGTATCTAATGTTTGGGGATTCGTATTTTTCAGTGGACATGGTGTTATATTATAACAAAATAAAAATATATTATAACAAAATAAAGGATGACGTTGGTGGATTCATGTATATGGTATATATGATGTTGTTATGTTGTGAAGTTAGCTGTTGTGTTGATTCTCGGCAGACTCTCAACAGACGAACTACATCTGTGAGAGCTGGTACTTGGTTGTTACATGCTTGGGGAAACTAGCTGTGAACAATGCCTAGGATGGTGTGTGGCATTGCTGCCGATGTAAAGGCAGGCCGGGCGTAGTTGCCGATGTAGAGGCAGGCCGGGATCGACTGACACCTATAAGTTTCAAAATTCAAACTTTTTAATAAAATAAATAAAAACAAAATGAATACAAAACAGTTACAAACAATAATAAAGTAAAACAAATATTTTCAATTATTTCCTAAAAAGGAAAACAATAAATATTTTGATAAAACTTCATTAATGAAAACTTTTAATTATCTTTATTTTAGTTTAACTTGATTAGAAATATTTTAATTTAAATCTTAATAATTTAAATCATGACTTACCTATAAGTTTCAAAATTCAAAATTTGACGTCTCAAAGGAGAATTTCTACTTATATAGCAATCATTTAATTGACGTGGCTTTCTTTGTCACGATTTAATTAGAAATTACCAAATATGGTTATTGTCCGAAATAAGGTCAAAATGTTGTATAAGTAAATGTCCCATAGATAATAGAGAGATCACTTTGACATTGTTGATAATAACTTATCTTTAAATGATCGGAGAACAGTTTGCATTATCCCACGGTATACATAGTGATTAACAAAATCATTACCTTTCTTATTTAAATAAAATTTAAATAATAATTGTAACTTCAGCTATGTTCAAAATTTATGTCAAATATCTGTCACAATAGTTATCCATCTTTTTTCGAGCTTTTAACTGTCGCGGCATTTGTCTTGTCTATGGAAGGTTTGATCGGTATTGCTTGTCGTCACTCTTGATACTTGTATTAGATTGACCTTTTCAGATGTCTATTTCTATCAAGTTAAACTTATTTTGTTGTGTTTGTGTCTCATTAATGTTTACTCTACATCTATCTAGTGAAATTAAAAAATCTAAACTGAATCTGCATTTTACTATTCTTTCAAGTCATTATATTTTCAACAAAGTGCTATATGTTTATATTGTTTATCATTTTGAAATGGTAGATTAACTAAATTTGTTCATGTACTTTAAACAGTTTATAAGAAGTTAATATTGTATCTAAAGAGCCTTATTGAAAATCGGTTTAATACAAATGAGTGCTGCTCTTTAAAAAAAATATTATTAATACTGTAATGAATATTGTATTTTGGTATTCTCCCCCTTTTTCAAGATTTTATATGTATTTGAATGTATTTACAGTTATAACAATAGTGTTATCATTTACTTTGCTCTTTTTAAGGTGGGGTTAACAAGTTTCATCATTCATATATAAGTTTGTCAGTTATAATTAGTCAGCCCACTGTTTTTAAAGGTTGTTCTTTGTTTCATAAATGTAATTTAACTATCAATGACAGACATTTTCTGTTTTGTTGACCTAGTTTGCAGAGCCCTACCAGGTGCCCTACCAGCCCTACCACTGGAGCTGTAGTGCCCTACCAGGTGCCCTACTAGCCCTACCAGTTATGTGTCACTTTTTCATTGGTTAAGGGAGTTAAGTGTTTTATGATTATTCAGGTTAATTGGGGGAGAATAAATAGGGAGGTTAGGCATTATTTTAGTCAGTAAGAAGTCAAGAGTTTTGTAGTCTGTAGGGTGAATTTATTGTAATACCGTCCGTTTACTATGCATTGTTAAATTGCGTATATTCCACATGTCTTTTTAATACAAGTTGAACTTATCATTGACTTCGAGTATCTTTTAGTTATACAATACTCAAGGATCCACTTATAATGTATGTGACCAGGAACATTCTCAGTACAACGCTACCTGATTCATGAAACTTAACAATACTTGGAGGATCAACCTGAGAGAAAGCGGAGTACCACAGGAGTATTAGGAAATTGCCATCACTTTCATTCATCGTCGTCAGGTTCAGGCATTTCTAGTTCCCCCAGTTACCCGACCGTCCTCTCTTTTTTCGTCACATTGGTGGCAGCGGTGGGATTTTTATTGAGTGACTTTGATAACTTTAATGACATTCAGTTGTGATATTTTTCTCTTGGATTTATTGTTATGGAAACTCAAAGGATTATACGGAGGTCATCTACTCGGGCTCCAAGGTCCGTTGAGGTAAGACAAGATAACTGTAGATCTAGATTATTTTCACCTGCAGACTCGGGAGTTGAGGTTTCACCATTCCCCATGACTCCTCTGGATGCACACTCTGGGAAGAAGGCAGGCGACCCGAGTATTCGGAAGTTTATGCATTCATCACCCAGGAGCTACCAGAGTACGGAAGTTATTGGTGCGGTCAATGGTTTGGAGACCAAATGTAGTTGGGGTTGGTTTTGGTCCGTATGGATTTGCCTTCTTGTTGTATGCAGTGGCTGTGTAGTTTTTGTGTGGGTGTATTTTCCGGAGAATAAGGTTGTCCGACGGTCCCAGGAATATGTAATGACTGGTCTTTTTATGATTATTGGGCTCCTTGTTTCGACGGTAGTCATCAAGATTGGTTGGCGCTCTAGTAAAAACGGTGAACGCCATATGTCCGACTTGATGTATGCTGAGGATGGTATTTTCCCTGATATAAATGGGGATCAATGCGTTAGTGAAAACCGTGATCAACCATGCGACAGAGAAGATTGTACTATTGGTGCCTCGATTCCTTTATTTAAGCAGTCGAAGCCCTCACAATATGCAGATGGAGCTGAAATGGTGGTGAATGCGAACGATGTGGCAGAGCGTGAACGGTGTGTCCCTTCGCTGGTGTCACACCGGGATGCTTCGGCTCCATCTTATATGGCAGCTAGTATCCCACGTTCCGGATCATCACATCAACCAGAATACCCTGTTCGTAGAACATTCTCTGGAGTCAACGAAGACGTCTGGAATGAATTTCTGCAGTATTTCGAGAACATCGCCGAGCTCAATTCTTGGGATCCTGAAAAATCAAGACGGGTACTTCTCAGCACTCTTAGAGGACAAGCCGAAACTTTTGCATACGGGTTGCCATTGGTATTTCAGCGAGATTATACGAGGTTGAGGCAAAAGATGGAGGAAAGGTTTGGCCATACAGCCATGACGGAGAAGTATATAGCCAAAGCTAAGATGAGGAGAAGGCGGGATAAAGAGACCTTGCGAGATTTTGGACAGGCGCTTGAAGATCTATGCAGGAGAGCTTACCCGGGGAATCCTGATATAGTTGAAGAAAATGCTGTGAAAGCTTTTCTGGACAAGTTCGGTCAGTCTGAGGACTTTCGCCTGGCCGTTAAAAGGACAAGGCCTAAAAATGTGCAAGAAGCAGTTATAAATGCAATGCAAGAGGAATATCTAAGAGTAGGAGAAAAGGATTTAGTTAAAGATAAGCCTGTTAATAGGCCTATATATATGAAGTGAGACATAGAGATAATATGATGATAGATGCCAGTGAGCCTCCAAGGGCGGGTTCTACTGAGCAAACAAATGATTATGAATATGATAGAGGTGTCAGCCGAGGAAGATATAATTGGAATAATACTGGTAGGGGGTCCCGCGGGAGACCCTTTAATCGAGGCTTTATGAGAGGTAGGGGAGGTGCCCCACAGTTTGGTAGAAGCCAAACAGACCATGGAGGCGGACAACAAGAGCCGGCA